ATATTCTCTCTTAATCATCTTAATTCACCCATGACTTCAGCCACTTTCTCTGTGAAACTGAATTCTGGTTCTCACCTCCAGCCTGGATTTCTTGCCTGTGCTCGCAACCCTACAGGGCAACCCTGTTTGGATGTCTCGCATACATTGATATTTTTACTTCATCCGCCCCCCTCAGCCCCCCATCAGCTCTATTCTTTGTCTGAAGAATATCATCATCCACTAAAAACGTGAGAGTCATTCTTGAATATTCCTTATTCGCACTCACATTTAGTCCATTACTAAATCCCATCAAGTCCACCCCTGAATTATGTCTCTTATATCTCCCTTTCTCTTGACCCTCACTTGCCATTGTACCAAATCAGAGCCTCATAATCTCTCCCTCGTTTCCTGAAAGCCCATTTTAACTGGTCTCCTTGAGGGCTGCACAACTGCCTTTGAGTCAGGTCTCACTAACTGCAGATTGACCTCACTCCAGTGTATGTTTGATAATGTCACTCTCCTCTTTAAAACATCCTTCTGTGACTTTCCATTGCCTTTAAGATTCATGATCTGAGCCCAGTTTACCAGTTCAATCTCATATTTTACCAAGCTCCCCTCCTACCATAAATTGTATTTCAGCCACATTACATTGCTTGCAGATCCCCAAATAGGACATATTCTCTGTCATGCCTACAGCCTTTGTTGTGCTTTCTCTGCCTCCTAACCCCCCTGATGCTCTTAGCTAACTCCTTCCTTCAAGAAGTCTTCCCTGAACCTCCTGGTCAGCTTTAAGTGTCCCTCTCATGCATTCTTGTGACATGTTATGGTCTGTTCTATAAAAGCTCTTCTTGCACTCTATAAGCATTGCCCATATTGAGGGACAGCATTAAGAAAAGTCCTATACTTCTTTCTCCAGTATTTTCTGATACCTCTCTTCTTCCCCACATTTAGGATGAAAGGACAGTCTATAAAGTCTATAACTCACCACCCTCCAGAGTAGGGCTCTGTTAAATAAAACATTCAAAGGGCAGGAAATGAGTTAATATTAGCTTTTTGAGTCTCCCAAAATAGACTCGAGTTGGAAGTTCATTGTTTAAAGGATACTATTTTTGAGGATCAAAGGTCTAGGTCCTGAATGTCCTACTGCACAAAGTTTACTCCTTAAACAACTGATTTGGAAGATTCTATGGACTGCAGGCAGAGAAAAGGGAGGCAGAAGCAGAACAGAGTAAGCCACTGGCCAGTGACTGTGGGGGGGGGTGAGGGTGGGCAAGGAGAGGGCATGGGAGAGCTGGCACAGGGGGACAGGAGAGCATCTGAGAGTTCCACTTCCCACACCCAAGAAGGGAGCTGGAGGAGCTGGAGAAGGGTCTGCGGCAAAAGGATTTCTGAGTAGGAAGGGGTGGGCACCGCGTGTCCTGCATATGGTGGTAACTGGAAATCAGATAAGAGCTCAGGTACTACAGCAGATGCCCACATGTTAGACAGGGTGTTCCTCCCAGTGATGTCGTGGAACCAGTGGAAATGAAATGCAGCCCTAGGGAGAAGGACAAGGGGGACATTGTCTGAGATTACACTAAATTGGCTAAGAGCAAAGTTCTTAGTATAGGCATAGTGAGAGATCAAGATAGGAATTAAATGTGGTTATAAAAAAGGTTAATAATTCTTGCTAACCTGAATTTGTGGTCTGGGATTCCCACTTGTGACTTCTACTCAAAAGTCAGGGTTTTCCACTGGACTGGAGGGTCCTTGAGGACAGTGACCACTGGCATTCATCTTTGTGACTTCAGTCCTGGCAGAGACTAGAGACTCAGAAAATGTTAGTTAAATGAAGAAATGAATGAATAAGCAAACCTTGTTTTGGAGGATGAGGACCAGATAGAACCAAGGCAGAGTAATTTTCCTCAGTCAGATGTGATGTTCCTCAATGGAATTGAAGTTTGACATCAGAAATAAATTGGACATTATCTATCCTTTTCCGAGTGTCACAGACAGGCTTGTTCAAATTAACTGTTAATTAACTGTATTTATTTTTCCTTATGTAGTGTGCGTCTAGGCACTAATCCTCTTGTTGACATTATGAAGACAACTAAATGGAAGGTTTGTTATATTGTCCACTTGTTGTCTAATTGACTTTAAAATATTTTGGCATGAGTATTATGATATGAGTGTTTGTGTGTTTGTGTACGTGTGTTAGTTTTGATCTACAAGCAGATTAGCATTCCTAATCAGGAATAAGCTGTCCAGAGGTGCTTAGTTAGAATTTTATAAGTCCCACTCAGGAGTCTACACTCCGTAGTACGACAAGTGCTTCAACTACTTCCATCTCCATCTGTGGTGGAGGGATAGTTCACTAGCACAAATGGAGTCAGAAATCATTTTGTTGTGAGGCTGCCACATGGAAAAGGAAACAGAAAACCCAAATGAGAATTTAAAAGGGGGGTTTTATTGGCTGGCCGGTGACTGTCTCTCCAAGAAAGTCTCGGAAGAGAAGAGCCCTGACTTGAAGTTTAGGGTTTTTTTTAAAAGGCACATTTTTACATTAGTCACACAGTTAAAATTATCAAATAGTCACATACCTATGGTATAGTCACACACAGACACACATACCCTCCTGGCGTGAGAAGGGGGTTTGGGGAGGCCTAGTGCAAGCTGATAACAGAAGCTGAAACAAGCCAGTTAATCACTCAGGGGCAGCTTGGGTGGGGAACAGCAAACAAAATTCAAACTTCTCTAAGTGCAGGCTTATATTTAGCTTTTAACTTCTACCAAGGGGGACTAAAGAGCCGAGGGGGATTTTCAAACAACATTTTTAAAGCAATTCAACCTACCTTGTCACACAGCAAGCAGTTTCACAGAAGCAAATTGCGTATGTTATGAAAGTGGGGGTCACCCTGTCTCAATTTTTCAAAGACAAGTTGAGTAGTGTTCAATAGATTGAATTGATTAGGAATACACAGACTTTTCCACCTGTGTACAAACACAAGCAGAAAATCAGTCCTGCCTGATACCTCTCAGTGTGACACCGTAGGCCTAGAAGTCCCATTTGGTCCTTGTCCTGTCTTTTACCAGATTTATTGTCTGATTCTGACTCAATGGCGGATAGCTGATCCTCCTGAGAAAATATTGCTATATCTGCCACTAGCAAAACCTGCATGAAACATGTCTGGCAGAGGGACCAGGGGAGGGAATCAATAAGAGCATATTGTATGACACTTTTTGTGCTTGTGTGCTAATAAATGTGTGTGTGTGTGTTACAGGGTTTGGTCTGAGATTTGTTTTCTTTGTAATGTGCCACCTGGCAGCAAGTTTGTCAGGAAAGAGACCTAGAGCTGTCCCCTACCCTTAGTCATTGGAGGCCACCATTATTCACAAAAGAACCCAACAGCTGTGAATGACCAAGTTGGTTTAGGTTAGTTGGCAACACAGCACTTAATACAATGTGCATTATCAATTATTTTTCCTGGTAATATTCAGTTTTATATAGATACAGATATATACATATATCACAAACAAAAAATTTCTACATTTTTTTTTGCTTAATATGCTGACTCTCATATTTTCATAGCATGGATGACCCTGGGTTATGTCACCCACTGGAATGCCCCTACACTCCTCATTTGAATTTCTTTCTGGCTTGGATTTTATCTTACTTATCTTCGAACGCCCCTCTGAGCCTACTACAATATCTCGGCTGGAAGAGGCCCTCATCTCTAAATGCTTGCTGGCTGGAATGTCATGGAACACATTCCCCTGTCACCCTTCTGATCGCAGCTAATGCCTACAAGAAGGAAAAGGAAAAACTAGTGTTGCCTTTAGGGGGTGAGCCAGGCTCAGGAGTAGCTGGGAGCAAACTACAGAACCAGGCATCACATGGCCATCAACTGAAGATGGAGAGAGGCAGACTCTGCTCTGGCCATAGGCTGCCATCCCATCACTGGATAGCATCACCCACTTTTACTAGAAAGAAGACCATCATGGGGAGAGGATGGATGTCCCAAGACAGCATCTCTACAGCAACTAGCTTTCCCACCTGGCAGCCATATCTGTCAATAAAATGTGAGGTTGAAGCATTACCCCAGATTAGAACATGGGCCCAAAGCACGATGGCTTGTCATCACTGGGCAGGTGTTGCTGAGGGGAGGCTGAGATGCAGCACAAGCTCAGAGAGAACCAGTCCAGATGCAGAGGCTGGCACAGAGGCACAGAAGGAGGGTACATACGGTGGAGCTCAGTCTCAGGTCACCAAACGGCCAGCACCTGGTGGCAGGGCATTGTTTTAGTTAAAGCCATTTGGGTTTAAAACAGCAAGAGAGACTGCAGGCAAGCATGTAGGGTCAGACAGACACAAGGCCTAAGGTTTCTTATTTTAAATTTGAAACAGTCCACCATAAGGGCTTATCTCGTAAGGGACATCATTGTCCTTATCTTGGCAAAAAGTCAAAACCAGATTCAGGATTTCCCAGAGATAAAGTAGAGCTTTTCCATTCCATTTGTAAATCAACTTTCTTCTACAAAGGCATTAGAGGTGGCAGAATTATTCATGCAAATACCTGGGCAATAGCTTTCTCAACACGTGAATGATCCAATGCAAAAATAAGTCAGTGAAGTTTGATGAATGACAGGGACGTAAACTTATGTGGGGCAGAGTTAACAGGAGGGCTGCCTCATGCTTAGGTCAGAGAAGTAAAACTCATGTAGGGTCTTGGAGGTGTTGGAGGCCGTCTTTCTTTTGCTCTGAGTGAAAGGGATGCATCATTGGAGAGTTCAGATTGCACGCACATGAGTTACACTTTAAAAGCCTGGCAATGGTCTGTGTGTCAACAGGATTAGAAGTGGAGATGCTACCGCAATAATCCAGGAAAGAGAGGATGCGACTGTAGACCGGGGTGGTAAGGATGGTCTCGTAGATAAATCTTGAAGGTGAACCAACAGAATGCACTGACAGTTTGGATGTAGAGTGTATAAAAAAAGTGCTTGAATAACTTTTTTATTGATATAAAGCAGGAAGATACCAAGGCTACAATATAAAATCAGGCCTCTCTGTTTCCAAATTTTGTGTTCTTAATACTTTTTTAAAATTTGTTTTTAAACTCATGAACCTCGAGAGATGAAATCTGCATAGGTAATCATGAGCCAGGACAAGTGTCATCATGCCATGACAAGGAGTTTAAATGCTCTTCTCTGTGAATAGGGGCGTAGTTAAAGTGTTTCTGAGGTGAATAAGAGGGATTTGGCATGATCTGGTTTGCATTAATGAATTTCTCTGGGATAAAGTAGGGGAAAATGGATTCTGTCAAAACTGGAGGCTAGTGAAGCAGCTAAGAGACTCCTGAATACACAGGAAAAGTGTGAAGAGGGTAGGACTGGACAGAGGAAAAGCACAAGTGGTTTTGAGAGGAACGACAGAGGTGGAATGGGGTGGAGTGCTGACGAGAACGTGGGGATTAAAATAAAAGAGTGAACTACAAAGATGTGGCTGTTATAAATTATTCATGAAAAAGATACTTGAATTTATTATACATTATTCATGAAAAAGATACTTGAATTTACAAATGTCCTGGATCAGTATAACTGATATCTTATTATATTAACTGCTTTACCTATATTTGTATAGTAAAATTAGACAACTTTTATTAACAATAAAAATTTAGCATTTTAATTTCTATTTTTTTCAGCAGTAACTAAGAGATATTATAAAAAAGCCATAGGTTGGAGAAAGAATATTACCAAGAAACTCATCATTAACTTGCCTGATTGAAGAATGAAAGAAACCTGTTTTTCTCTCCTTTCGTTATGGCTTAAAACTCTGAATTACACAAAGCAAAATAAACCCTGTGAATCAAAGTATGCAAGCTTGTGTCCATTTATTCTTCTACCCTCTGTGATCTTTGAGTAGGAAATAAGCAGATTGGCCTTATTTTTTTTTTTTTAACTACAGAGGTTGTTACATTCCAAAACGAGAACATTGCATTGTTCACTTGTGAGGAAGATGAAGACCGACTGGTCAGGCTCCCTCACCTCATATCCAGCTGAGCATGACTCAGCCTGTCAGATGTAAATACATTAACCACATGTGTGCCCAGTTGTTCCTTGGCTATCGTACTCTATTATGAAAGACAATGGCTCTGATCTGCTGGGGGGCTGAGCTTGCATCCAAATAAAGCTTGTCGGGCTGAGCCCGTGGCGCACTAGGGAGAGTGCAGCGCTGGGAGCACAGCAGCGCTCCCGCCACGGGTTCGGATCCTATATAGGGATGGCCGGTGCGCTCACTGGCTGAGCGCGGTGCGGCCGGTCTCAAAAATGACAAAAAAATAAATAAAATAAAATAAAGCTTGTCAACCTTACCAACAGCTCCCAAGATCTTTTTCCAACCACCTAGCTCATGACCTGCATACGAGGGGTCTGTGACCCAGCCTGACAATTGGTGTAGTCAGAGGCAGGATTCTGAGCAGGGAAGGGAGCCATTAGCCCATCAGGAGGGAGAGGGAATGTGGCTGCCCTTGAGTATACGGTACCCACTGGCTGTTTTCCTGTTGACCAGGGGCTGGCTGTTGCTCACCATACTGTGAGCCAACAAGGACCAGGCACTTCATGAAGCAGCACAGTTTCAAGAGTTGAAACAAAAGGCAGACATGTTGAAGTGCAGATACATGCTCGGGAGGCTGAAGTACAGCAACAGATCGCCCCTGCTTTTGACACTGGGAACGATGACAAACACGATGGTGAGTTGAGGGAACCTGTACATTTACTGACACAACCTGTTGTTCATCAGAAAATGAAGCACGAGCAGCCTATGGGACCAGACGGCCACCTGGTAGGCAACCCACACGTGACCCAGTTCACTGCTTATGTTGCATACACCCAGGCCAACTGGGTTGATTGGGCAAAACAGTTTTGACAGAAATGGGGAGAACCCCTGGCTGCTTGGCTCCTATGGTTGTGGGACCTACGGGTGGATAGTGTGATGTGCTCTGGTGAGGAGATGAAAAGTTAGCCTCCATTACCATGCACCTGTCCCTGCAACAGTGGTTAGAGAATAGCCACAGATATGCACAAAGGCAGGGCGAACTCTCTTTAATGGAATGGGTCAATGCAGCTCTCCAAACTGTGGACGAATGCCAGCAAACTGCCCCAAACTGTGAGTAGATGGCAAAAGTATGTAAAGCTGGTTCAAATAATTTGGGAGCTGGGGATGCCACAGTCCATGTTTAATGTGAATACCCATGGCCTGGGTGATGAACATTTTATAGTCAGCATGAGAGATGTAGTGCTGCAAAATGCTCCATCAATGTCCTTTGGGCCACTGATGGCCATACTGGCCCCATACATTGGTCATCCTAAACATGAAGTAAAGACCATGACGGCCAATCTGGGTGAAGCAGAGGAGAGGAGACAAGAAAAGGGGGTCCAAAAGGTGATGAAGACCAAGCCCCCAAGAAATGTTTGGGATGTTATCCCGAAGGTACCAGGCAAGAACAGCCACATGCAGATGTGGTTTGAGTAGTTCACAGCAAGGGCCAATAGGGAGAAAATCACCCAGCAACCAAATGCGGTCCTGTTCACCTGTGGCAACAATTGCATCCCAAACACCATTTCACCAAACCTCCAGAAGAAACAGATGGCAGGTTATGCCCAGTGAATTTAAAATATTTTTTGGCTACTTCTGCAGAGACGGATGGACTGTTTCATTTCAATTAAGGAGCAGGTCAAGGTGCTTGCCTTTTGGGAGTGGGCAAGGACTGGCTGCTTCGTGTTGAACTGGCAGCACGTTGGTCAGAGACAAATGTGCAGCATGTATTGGCATTGGTGGATACTGGCACAGAATGCAACCCTATACGTGGTAATCTGGATAAGTTTCTGGGGGCCATGTGTAGACAGCAATGGAGGATGTACTATTAAAGTCAAAGTTGTGTCATTGCTGTCAGGCATAGGACAATTGCACCCTGCCCCCCATGTGTATATTGTATACATATTTCCAGTAGCTGACTATGTCTTGAGTATAGATGTACTTTATGGTTTGCACCTGCAAACAACATTTGGAGAATTTCAGCTGTGAATACAGATAGTAAATCCTGTGTTATTGTGATATGCTTGTCCGTTTTTGTTGCTATAACGGAATACCTGGAACTGGGTGATTTACAAAGAAAAATATTTATTGCTAACAGTTTCTGAGGCTGGGAAGTCCAAAGTCCATGTGGTGGTGGCAACAGTGACCCAGGGGTCTCATATTGCAAGATGGTGGAAGCAGAGAAAGCAGAAAGAAAGAGAGTCTCTCCTCTTCTTTTAAAGCCCTCAGAACCATGTCCCTGACCACCATTTTTAATCCATTCACCACTGCATGACCCTATAACCTAATCACCTCTTCATGGCTCCACCTTACAATTACCATTACAGGATTTCTCACCATCTTTACAGTCACAGTGGGGGCTAAGTTACATAAAACTTGGGGGACACAATTCAAGCTTTCACTGAGCTTTGGGGGCATAATTCAATCTACTACAATGCTTAAACATAACCCACAGGTATTACCCAAGCCAAGACATGTGGTCAACATGAAGCAGTATCATCTACCAGGAGGACTGGAGTTAGAAAAAGCCGGCCTTATTCGTCCAGTGCACAGCCCTTTTAATGCGGTGGTGTGGCCAGTGAAAACACCTGATGGTACCTGGAGAATGACTGTGGATTATCGAGAACTGAACAAAGTAGTGCCTCCTTTGCATCAGGTGTGCCTTCAGTTCACAATTTAATGGATCTGCTGACAACTCAATTAGGAACTTATCATTATGTATTGGATCTGGAAAATGCTTTTTTCTCTTTTTTCTCAGCTGATAGCCAAGATCAATTTGTGTTCACCTGGGAGAGAAGGCACTGGACTTTTCAGGTGTTACCACAAGGATACCTGCATAGTCCAACCATCTGTCATGGTTTAGTGGCTGGGGACCTAGGCAAGTAGACTAGGCCCAACATGGTTACAATGTTTCATTACATAGATGATATCTCACTAACCTCTGATTCTCTTGCAGATTTAACTCATGAGGCCCAAATGCTGTTAGGTAATTTGGAGTGATGTGGGTGGGCCATGAACACAACCAAAGTACAAGAACCTGGGCTATCAGTCAAATTATTGGGAGTTGTCTGGTCAGGTAAGATGCAAGTCATCCTGGAAGCTACTATAGACAAAATACAAGCATACCCTTGGCCCACAACAGTAGCTAAGCTGCAGGCATATTTGGGACTTCTGAGGTATTAGATGGCTTTTGTACCCCATATGACACAAATGGCCCACCCACTCTATGCACTAACAAAGAAAGGAGCTCCCTGGTATTGGACTGAGGAAGTAGAGTGGCTTACTGGGCTACAAAGAGGGCAATACAGCAAGTGCAAGCTTTAAAAATGGCTGATCCCAGGGCTGGCCCATGGCTCACTCAGGAGGGCATGGTGCTGATAACACCAAGGCCATGGGTTTGAATCACTATATAGGGATGGCTGGTTAGCTCACTTGGGAGAGCATGGTTCTGACAACACCAAGTCAAGGGTTAAGATCCCCTTACCGGTCATCTTTTTTTTAAAAATATGGCTGATCCCATTAGGCCTTTTGAATTAGGTGTACATATAACCCAAGAAGGGTCAAGATGTCAAAGACAGGATTGATTCCGAACACCTATAGGATTTTGGTCCCAGCTCTGGAAGGGCACTGAAATGGCTTACTCTCTGATAGAGAAACAGTTAGCAGCTGTGTATTCTGCCTTTCTGGCCACTGAAGCTATAACGGGAACTGCCAAGGTCCTAGTATGGATGATGTACCCCATACTGCGTTGGTTGTGCACATGGCTAATTGCCCCCAAAACAGGTGTAGCTCAAACTCCCACTCTGTCCAGATGGGGAGCATATATATCTACAAGCCCTCTATCAAATGAACTACAAACAGTGTTAGGGCCAGTAGAAGTAGTGGAGGAAACCTTGATACAACCCTTACCCCTGGAGGTAGAAGTCACACCATTCCATGAATGAGAGGGACCTATCATAGAGCAAGCCTGGTATACAGATGGCTCCAGCATAGGCCCCTCAGCCTTGTGGATGGCTATTGCTGTCTAGCCCTTAACAGATACCATATGGTATGAAAATGGCATAGGGCAGTCAATGGGCTGAATTAAGAGCAGAATGGATGGTGATTAAAAATGAACCTGGCACATTGACTATGTGTACAGACATTTGGGCAGTATACAAAGATCTTACCCTCTGGATCTCTACTTAAAATACCAATGGTGGATGGTAGGCCACCGATCCCTGTGGGGACAAGCCATGTGGCAAGAGTTATGGGAATTAGGACATGATAAGAAAATAACTCTTTTCCAGGTCACAAGATATTTCCCCTTCGCCAGCCCAGGCAATGATAAAGCTGATGCACTGGCTAAGGTAGGATGGCTGGAGAGAGCCCCAGCCACTGAAGCATGCTGGCAGCAAAAGCATGTGGGTCATGGTTTGAAGATGGGTCCTGCCTATAAAATGGAAAGATGTAGTGAACACCTGTCACACTTGCCCAGTATGTGCCTGTGAAAGTCCACACCCTGATGTGTGCTGCCTACTGATGGGAAAATAAGTCGAGGAAGTGTGCCTTTTACTCAATAGCAGGTGGATTTTGTGGGACCACTCCCCATGTCAGAGAACTT